CACACACACACACACACACACACACACACACACACACACACACACACGGGCACAGGTTCATTTGAATCGTCAATTTTTGTAACTTATAGAAATAATTTATTCCTTTAAAAAACAACACAGTACATATGCATTTTATAATAAGAATAACATAGTAGCAGTAGAGCTCCTTGTGAAAGAGTTCGTCCAGGGTAGTACTGCCACCTTACATATTTCTGCCGCCAAGCAGTAATATCAGCATTACTGTGTTCCGGTTTTGAAGGGTAAGGTGCTGGTGAAATTACAGGCACATGGGACTTATGAACTTATGTCTCAGGGTGACGGGTGCAGTGGTAGTGCCCCTCAGATCTTTGCAATTTAAAGCTCTGAGTGGCACTGTAACTGTTATGGACAGGCGTGTAGCTTACCATCAGGCGCACGACTTGTTCGTCCCGTCATTTGATGTAATAAAAAAAAAGAAGTTAGACAAAGGATTAAATTACAAATAATAAAAAGGTACAAAGCGTATGTGCTGTGCTGCTAAGGAAATGGTGACCCACTCAGCTTGTTGTCGTCTCACCTAAAGTGCTACGACGCTGTGACGCTGGCACGGAACATAGTAGCCGTCACAGATTTACACCAAAAACATTGCATGAAACAAGCACATATTACTATAAAACTAACATGATCGCATAAACTCTTCGTTTTCCATTCAGGTACAATTATTAATGAAGTTATCTGACATCAAAATTGCACTGCTTGAGTTGAAAACGTATATTTTTGCGTAATTAATTTATATAACTTCTATAAACATTTACATTGTAAATAACTTTGGTAAAAATAAAAAAGTCCATACATACACTACATTTTAGAACTATGTCTACTAAAATACAAAGAGGAGACATATTTTTAGGTTTTTCAATTTAATTCAATATATATAAAAAATGATTTCGATACTAGTAGGACAATTGTCAAAATAAGAATAAAGAAGGCAATAACGCAATTAGAAATCATGAACATGTTAACATTCGAATTCAGACATTTTTGGCAAAATTTTACCTTCTTTCACGGTCTAAACGGATCACGGATAAAACTGTCGACAACAACTACATGACTATTTAAAATTTTATGGAAAGTGGCAACCCTACAAATGTCATTTCGCTCCGTCTTCAAATAATATTATGGTTATTGTAGAAGATTATGTTAAATAAAAATTGCTTATTAGTTTTGTAGAAAGGCTAGATTGTAAATAGTTATAAGGTTTTGTTAACAAGTAAAGTTTTTGGGAAACTAACAAAGTAAATTTAGAAAATAAATAAAATAATGTACGAAATAAAGCTAATGCATTGTTTTTCATATCAAATAGATTTAATTAATAATATGCAAAAGTAATTACTCGTATATGATTTATTAGTTGTATATTGCGCGTATATTTTTAAATTTATTTTGTGTGTCCCAAAAATGTTTACTTTTCGATTGCATGATTTTATTGTTGAGGGAGCATAACCAGTTGTTAACCACAAAAGAAAATAGAGACATGTATGTACTTAAAGTTGATTATTGCGATTTCCAAGTAAACTCGTGACCGCTCTGAAATATCAGAATAAAAAATAAATACGAAATAATGATAATAATGTGTCAGACAACTACACCAATTAATTGGTCTCAAATTAGGGTACTATGAATACCAGAGCAACGGAATATGCTACGAGGCACTTCCCAGAATACCCATACCATTGTGACAACTCAACTTACCTCTCGATGGATTCGGCTATTGTTTCGCGTAAGCCGGCCGGACAATGCATTCCTGCGCACCAGCAGCTGGTCGATCATAAAGTCTTCGAAGTGAAACCTGAGTCGCCATTTGCTTGCCATTGTACCTACCGGCTCTCGCTAATTTAGCTGTGCTTAACCAAAAATAGTACTATATACACATGGAGTATATAATCAGAAATAGAGACGAAATGTCATTTCATTTGTTTGAAAACTATTCTGCCAAATCATTACGGTGACAGCTGCGCTCCGATTGGCCAGCTCCAATTCGAAACAATTGATGGGTGTCGTCAACTGTTTCACTTCAGCTCGACCAGTTTAACTTGAGCTTTGCTATAATGGACGAAAATTGAAAAATTACATATAGACTGTGAACTGGCAACCGGTACTATCTCAATTTTAACAACTTTACACGATGAAGAAAAAATTGTTTGCGTCACTTATAGCATCTGGTTTATTAAATAAAAATACGTACTGTATGTGTAATAAAAATATTTAAAAACTACGTATTTTTTAATAAAGATTTTATATAAATGACGCAAACAATGTTTTCTTCATCTGTAAAGTTGTCAAAATTGAGATAGTACTGATTGTCAGTTCACAGTCGATATTTAATTACCGATGAAATGTGATTCCGTTTGCTTTGTAATTAGACGTTTGGCTGTTTTTCCCACATCACCGAATGGAATAGCCCCCTATAGCTATTGATATTGTCTTTATTACAATAAATACAGAATATTTTTGGATTATACGGAGACGTACACAGGTTAGTTTTTGGCGCTGTACTATTTCAGCTTTCTAATTTGTGATTTCAATGCAAACGAGAGTTGATATTTAAAGGTGATATAAGGTCCATTTGCCTGATGAGTTGCCGGGGATGGATGGCTCTTATTTCGTCTCTATTTCTATTATATACTCGATGTATACATATGTATGTTCCAGTCCTTTAGTTGTATGTGCTTCAAGTGACGATATAAACTAATTCAACTATGTAGTATTGCCTATTTTTTGGTGCCTATCTGCAGATAACGTTACACCATATGTCCAAAATTGGTGCTACCGGAAATCGAACCTGGGACCTCCTCATCCAGCACCCACAATGCAAGCCGGCCCATTGCCACCGAAGTCGTCGATACGGGTCGTAAAAAGAAACTTGTAAGTTTTTAACATTTCAGGTTTAGGTCTTGCGGGATTACTAACAACGCAAAACGCGGTGGTCCTGCAGAGGTTTGGTGCGATACTACTGAACCTGACTGAAGTGCTGAACGACGTCATGAAGCACGAAGACAGTGGCACTTATGTCGAGTAAGTTTATAGGGACTTAAAATATACCCATTTCAGAGAGAATAAATTAATATAGACTTAAAGACTTTCGTGGTTATTCCTTAAATGATTATCATTAATTACGGGTTTCTTACCACTTCTTTTTAAACGACTTCAAAAAAGGAGGAGGTTCTCAATTCGATTGTATTTTTTTGTATGTATGTTACGCAATAACTCCGGATAAAAGTCGTTGAAAATCAAATACAAAGACCCGACAACAAGCAGATGGGAAAATTCGTGAGGTCCGCTGGTTCGTTCCGTGGCTTAGTTGGCATAGCGTCTGCCACGGTTTGCTAGAAGACGTCGGTTCGAATCCGGCCGGATCGAAGGAAGTTTTTCTAAGCGTTAGCTCTTTGTATTAATAATTATAACATTACAATTATTAGAAATCATATCGTGATCTTCTTTCTAGAATAAATTAAAAAATAATGATGTGCTACACTGCCACGCCAATGACTTGGTCTCAAACTAGGGAATTTCCTGTACCAGAGCAACTGAATTTTTCTCCAGGACACTACCAAAACACACAGACCAGAACCAATTTAGAAAAGTTATTTTTCCAAATTGGTCCTATCGAGAATCGAACCCCGGATCTCTTCATTTAGCGTCCACGGTGCAAACCGTTGGGCCATCGGGGTCGTGAAAAAATATATTTATTTATTTAATCAGGCTCTCGCAACAATGAGTACATTATAATAGTGCAGGTATACATATACTATGGTTTTAAACTAATTGTCCCATTACTTAAAGGAGGGCACAGCATGCAGTAAAAGAAATATAATAATATTTAGTTAGGCATGACGGCACAAAAGTACAATACATTATAAACTTAACTATAAACTTATCACATCACCTTCTTTATCATAGAAACGGAAATACAATTTAGATCAATTTCACTCTGATACTCCTTACAGTGTTATAGCTCGTGATAAGAAACAATGTAGCATCAAATATATATTCATCATCAACCCATTTACACGTCCAACTGATGGGCACTGAACTCCTCTCAGGTGAGGCCATGGTCCGCCACGTTGGTCAAATGCGGGTTGGGGACTTTACACGTTTTCCAACAGTTGTGAACCTTCTTCGATATGCAGGTTTCCTGGCGATGTTTTCATTCACCGAAAAGGCTCATGATAAATTTAAAATTAAATTAAAAAAAATATATAAATAATATGTGAAACGTAATGTAATGAGCTAGACTATCACACCAATGACCGGGTAACGAGTTGATTTCAAAAGAACTAAGGGTAGCCACATACAGTCAGAATCCCGAGGTAAGAATACTATACAAATCACGGACTTATAACTTAGGCGCCATACAAAGTATCTCAATATATCATATATCAATAATTTCAAATCAAAATGTATCTATCGGCGAGGACCTATAATTGGCTCACCATTATTATTTAAGTTTTTTATTCTATAAGATAGCCGTTGGTCTTCCAATAAATAAAATAAAATAAAATAAAAATAAAATATTTAGTGTTCTTTTTATTATTTGTGTGAATAGTTATAATAATAAATAATAATAACGCGTACACACTCATAGCCCCGCACTAGGGAAACCCTGTATCGCGGGTGCCATGGACACACACATACGGTCGTATTCAAGAACTCTACTCAATGCTCAAGTCAGGATTTGAGTATGGTTTAAAGCACTTGAAATCATACTCAAGTCCCTGCCATTAGGGTCGTATTTCCAGTGCTTGTGTTTCCATCAACTGCCTCCGTGGCCGAACGGTTACCATGCCGGACTGCCACGCAGAGGTCCCAGGTTCGATTCTCGGGCCGGGAGAAATATTTGTATGGCCTACATTTATTTCTCTCGTGAGTGTGGGTGTAATTTGTGGTTGTTTATGTGTGTGTCCATGGCACCCGCGATAAGGGTTTCCCTAGTGCGGGGCTATGTTGATTGTGAGCGTTATTATTATTATTATTGCAATCCTGACTTGAGCATTGAGTAGAGTTCTAGAATACGACTCATAGACAACCACAAATTACACGCAAAGTCACGAGAGAAATAAATGTAGGCCATACAAATAATTCTCCCGGCCCGGGAATCGAACCCGGGACCTCTGCGTGGCAGTGCAGCATGGTAACCGTTCGGCCACGGAGGCAGTTCGTGTTTTAATTTAATCAAATTTTTGTATATACATTTTTCTTTTGTGTTTGTGTTTTTGTTTCGTAATTATTTATTTATGTTTTACGTTGAATATTTTGATCATGTTTTGTTTTAGTTCTGCTTTGTTTCATTTTCTCTCTTTTTTTTGTCTTTTGTGGTGTCATTGTGGTAAACAAATAAGTGTATTTTCTTTCGTTCTATAACACACATACAGTGCTATTCCGTTCGAAATTTTCTCTGATTCGAAATACCGTAAAGTCGTTTGTGCATTAGGAATTCAGCACGGAAAAAGCCGTTCCGAATGCGTCTTCCATAGATTTTGTAGGCTTGCAACGCACAGTCGCATATTCCATACGTATTTTCGCTGCGAGAACATCTGGACTCAATGCCTCGCTTATCTCAACTGAGTCTTGTTATTCCGAACGGAAATAAACATTATGTGTGTGACGTATATCTTCGAAGTTCCGAAACGGAATTCGGACTGTATGTGGCTGGCATAACAACAATAACAAGACCTAATTTAGAGTAGCTCAAACCCTGTATATCCTCATCAAGTGTCCGTAGCTCTGACCAACGAACAACTGAGGTTTACATATATTTTTGTTGATCGGATTTTTTGTTTTATTATTTTTTATCTACACTTACTAAAACTGCTATATATCAATGCGAAGTGGAGAGGTGCTGAATACCTATCAATATTTCTTCTTCGCTTTCTTGAAAATATCAAATACTAGTTTCTGAACTTTAACTTGTTTAACTTTGATTGATAACGGACCTAAGTTTAGGGGCGTGGAGGACTGCTAAAACTTCCTAATAAAGTAGATCTATAGTCGGATATATGAAATTATACATTATAAATCCCATTTTTGACGACGTTTTTTATACTCCAAAATTGTAAATTAATGTTAGTAATGCTTTATTTTAAACTGGTATCTGACTAAGGAGTTTCATACACTTCGATGTTTTTTTATACAAAATGAACGCAATGTCGAATTTGTATGGGAATTGAAGCGGCACGTTTTTCTGGCTCAT